ATACTCATACACAAAAAATAAAAATATAAATATTTTTAAAAATAAAATTGAATGCTTATGATAAGCCATGTACTCTCTACACATTACTTAAAACTTTTTCAATAAGCTATTTGGTTTTCTAGTAAATATGAAGGCTTATAAATAGAGCAATAGATATTCAGTAGGAGGTGACAAAATTAGTGTTTATAGAATATAGGTAGTACTGAGTCTTATTATGGAAAGCTGATGTTCTTTCTTTATGAATTACTGAATAATCAAATATAAATTATTGTAAGAGAATATTGTGAAAAAGGAATTAATAATGCAACTGAAAACAATGTGTTCATTTTCTGGTATTCTTAGATTCTAAGTCTTGTCTTTATAGTACAAATCTTAAAATGGCATAGTGGGTCAAGGATCTCCCTCTTTCTAAACTCATATTGTTCTATGAAATTTCTATGAAACATACATGAAGACTTCAGAGTCAGTGGTATTTTATCTTACAGACTTCTACAATTAGTACACACCTGGTGTATTCATGCTACATTTTGGTCTCGTTTTAATTACTACTCATCTGATCTTCCCCATCTCCCAAATGAAGAATGCCTTTCCTCAAATCATCTTCCTTCATTGATATTCAGAGGATATACTGGAGGGATATTATCACTTTAGGCAAGCAATTACACCACACAGTCTCTTGGCTTACTCTGGTAGTCCACTTTAGTAATGTCAGAATCACAGGAAATCAAGTCATTGCTATTCTGCCCCAAGCTTCTATCTATTACATTCCTGCCACATTAGAAGCATAACTCACAGAATATTATTTGTGGTAATGACACTGCCTGAATTTAAAACAAAAATAGATTTCTTAAGAGTCTATACCCATAGCCACTGGATAAATGATTAAAGTGAACTAACATGCCAGGGAAAGTGACAGGAGAGAATCAAGAAAACTACATAGAAATCATCCCAAACCATGTTTCTTTCAGGAAGGGCATCATAAAAGTGACACCATGTAAAGTGAACAGTTTTCTTTTTACTAGAAAATACTCCTACACTGGTAATTGTTTACTAGTTTTAACTCTGAAATAAATAAAACAAATAAAATAGAGTGGACACAGTTTGGGGGGATGTCTTTTTGAGACAGGGTCTCCCTGTAGTGCCAGCTGGCCTGGAACTCACTGCCTCTGCCTCCTGAGTGCTGGGATTAAAGGCATACACCACCATGCCCAGCAAGTGGACATCAGAGGTAA